GCGCCATTGCACTCCAGCCTGGGCAACAAGAGCGAAACTCCATCTCAAAAAAAAAAAAAAAGAAAGAAAGAAAGAAAGCAGGCAAACAAACAAAAAAAATCTGCTGTCAGTCCTGGGAATTAAGATTAAGAAGGGGGCCGGGCACAGTGGCTCACGCCTATAAATCCCAGCATTTTGGGAGCTGAGGTGGGTGGATCACAAGGTCAGGAGTTTGAGACCAGCTTGACCAACATGTTGAAACCCCATCTCTACTGAAAACACAAAAATTAGCCGGGCATGGTGGTGTGTGCCTGTAATCCCAGCTACTCATGAGGCTGAGGCAGGAGAATCGCTTGAACCCGGGAGATAGAGGTTACAGTGAGCTGAGATCTTGCCACTGCACTCCAGTCTGGGCGACAGAGTGAGACTCCATCTTAAAAAAAAAAAAAAAAAAAAAGAAGACTGGGCGCAGTGACTCACACCTGTAACCCCAGCAATTTGGGAGGCCGAAGTGGTGGATCACCTGAAGTTGGGAGTTCAAGACCAGCCTGACCAACGTGAAGAAACCCCGTCTCTACTAAAAATACAAAATTGCCGGGAGTGGTGGTGCATGCCTGTAATCCAATCTACTCAGGAGGCTGAGGCAGGAGAATTGCTTGAACCCTGGAGGCAGAGGTTATGGTGAGCCGAGATCGTGCCACTGCACTCCAGCCTGGGCAACAAGAGTCAAACTCTGTCTCAAAAAAAAAAAAGTAAGAAGGGCCACAGCAGTTCTTACTTCAATCTGGCCGTTTGAAGAATATCACACAAAGAAAGAAGCACGCCAGTGAAGACAGTGCGATGCTGTGTGCTGCCGGGAGCACGCCTGGTGTTATGTAAGTCATAGCTTTGGGTTGAACAGTTCTCTGATGTGTGAGCCATCCAGCAGACAATGTAGTGCTACAGCTTAGGCCATGTTTGGGGAGCAGCACAGCAGGCTTATGGATGTAATGTGAGGAAGCAGGAAGGAAGCCTCAGGTAATGGGTTCGCCCTGATTGGACAGCAGTTTGGCCACAAGGTTGGGAGTTTGGTGACATGGTAGAAAGGAGTGCTCCTAGAAAAACAGGCTAAAATGAAGCTTGAGGCAGGACAGCAATGTTATCAAGGGGCCTTGAAAATAAGGCCATACTGGGTACAGTGGCTCACACCTGTAATCCCAGCACTTTGAGAGGCCAAGGTGGCAGATCACTTGAGGTCAGAAGTTTGAGACCAGCCTGGCCAATGTGGCGAAACCCCGTCTCTACTAAAAATACAAAAAATTATCCAGCATGGTGGTGGGTGCCTGTAATTCCAGCTACTCAGAAGCCTGAGGCAGGAGAATCGCTTGAACCCAGGAAGTGGTGGTTGCAGTGAACTGAGATCTTGCCACTGCATTCCAGCCTGGGGACAGAGTGAGACTCCATCTCAATAAAAAGAAAAGAAAAGAAAAGAACAGCCAGACATTTGCATTTGGCAAGATCAACTTGGAAGCTTGAGTGCTTGGAGGTGGGGAGAAGGGGACAAGAATATTTAACTCACCCTGCAGATCTGAGGTAACTGGAAAATAAAATGACTACTGCCTGCTTTTGTGTGCCTGCTTTCTGCCAGGCACCTACCTGGCCACTTTACATACTTTGGCTCATTTCTTTTTCATAACAACTTACAAAAGAGATACTTTATGATTCGCATTTTACAGAAACAGAAACCAGGCTGAGAGAAGTTAGGTAGCTTGCCCAAGCCTCATGGCCGGTGAATGGCAGAATTTGGTAAACACCAGATCTATCTCTAAAGCTTGTGTTCTCTTGCCCCCAACGTTTTATTTCAAAACATTTCAAACCTACAAAGTGTTGAAACATAGTACACCTGTTCATTTACTCTTCATCTGGAGTCTCCTGAGCTTTATTAAAGCCACATCAACTCACCTCCTCTAAGGTACTGGTTGGGGTGTGACTGAAGATGGCACAAAATCTGGGATCTGATAGAAGGAAGACATGGGGCCGCGTGCAGGGGCTCACGCCTGTAATCTCAGCACTTTGGGAGGCAGAGGCGGGAGGATCACCTGAGGTCAGGAGTTCAAGACCAGACTGGCCAAATGGTGAAACCGCATCTCTACCAAAAATACAAAACTTAGCCGGGTGTGCTGGTGCATGCCTCTAAGCCCAGCTACTCGGGAGGCTGAAGCAGGATAATCACTTGAACCCAGGAGGCAGAGGTTACGGTGAGCTGAATTGTGCCAATGCATTCCAGCCTGGGCAACTAGAGCAAAACTCCAGCTCAAAAAAATAAATAATAAATTAAATCCTGATTCTAGTACTTGATATATCTCCTCTGTAAAATGGACATAACCCTAGCAATCTCAAAAGGTTGTAAGAAGTGCGTGGAATCACTTTAAAGCAGTACTGATATAAAGTAGGGAAAGACGAGAAGACAGGAAGAGCATGAAGACCTTGTCTTGTTCTGCTTTTAGCTCCAGAATTTGGCGAGGAGCACAGGACTTTATTGAGCAACTTCTACTGCATTTGGCTCCCCAAAGGATTTAAAACGGTAGCCACGGGAAGAGCAGAGTACTCTCCTTCAGAAACTGGCGAGGAATATCAAATGACGTTAACAGGCCGGTCGCGATGGCTCACGCCTGTAATTCCAGCACTTTGGGAGGCCAAAGCAGGCGGATCACTTGAAGTCAGGAGTTCGAGACCAGCCTAGCCAACATAGTGAAACCCCGTTTCTACTAAAAATACAAAGATTAGGGGGGCGTGGTGGCGGGCACCTGTAATCCCAGCTACTCGGAAGGCTGAGGCTGCAGTGAGCTGAGATCGCGCCACTGCACTCCAGCCTGGGTGACAGGGCGAGACTCCGTCTCAAAACCGCCACCACCAAATGAAGTTAATATTCCACAGCGGTGTGGGCTAGACAGTTAACGCGGAGTTTAAACAGGCGGCCATCAAGCGTCCCGGATTTCAAGACCTCTCGTTTGTCTGTCGCGCCACGCAGCCAACTGGAGTGTCACCGTGGGTTCTATTTACACCGTTATGAAAAAAACCTACGGCCGAGAAAAACTCGGTGTCCGGGATCGCAGACCGCCCACCCACAGCAGCCAGCGTACCCAAACGCCACACGGCGAAGTCCCGCGGCTTTCAGGAAACTCCGGGGAGGAGGGGGCCGGGTGGCGCCTACGGCGCGGGGGACGCTGGGAGTGTTAGTCTTCGCCGGCCTCCGGGGGCGGGGTCCGAGGGCGGGGCTCTCAGGCCGCGAATGTGGGTCGGGCGCCGCGCGCCGGGGCTTGCCCCGGCGTTTCCGGTCGCAGGCGGGCTCTGGAGGAGGCGGGGCGCCGTGGCGGACGCGCGCGAGGCCGTCTGGGAAAAAGGGAGGTGTGAACGGGTGCGCGCGCAGCCAGCGGGCAGTAGCGGCGGAGATGGAGGAAGGAGGTCGGGACAAGGCGCCGGTGCAGCCCCAGCAGTCCCCGGCGGCGGCCCCCGGCGGCGCGGACGAGAAGCCGAGCGGCAAGGAGCGGCGGGATGCCGGGGACAAGGACAAAGAGCAGGAGCTGGTGAGGCGCGGCCCGGAGAGCCGGCGGAGGAGGCCGCGGGGCTGAGTCACGGCGGCTCCGCAGGCCTTGGCCCCGACTCCCAACGGCCCCACCGCGCCAGGGAGAGGGCTGTTGGGGCGACCCCCGGGACTCCCGGCACCCTGCCTCTCTGCTCCTCATTCTCCGTTCCGCGCTGTCACCTCTGCCGTCCCCACCAACCCTCACCACCGCCGCGTGAGGTGGGCTCGGGCGGGTCATTGTCACCTCCGTTTCCTAGAGTGGCATTCAGGTAGAGCCTGGGTCAGAACCCAGGCTGATTTCCCACTACGGCTTCCCATTCCTACTCTGTTTCCTCGTCCACCTGCCCCGGGTAAGTGGGAGGAGGACGTCTTTGGGATTCCTTCTCTTCATGAGCTTGTTTCTCCCAATCCTCCAGTCCGAGGAGGATAAACAGCTTCAAGATGAACTGGAGATGCTCGTGGAACGACTGGGGGTGAGTCACGATGTTAACATGATTCGGTGCACGTTTGGATCTTTCCCACCTGTTTTATTCCGTTTTGAGGCAACTCCTGTGCGCGGTGGGCTGTATTTTAGTGTCAGTGTTAACGATGATGTTGGGAGGCAGGAGAATTACAAAAGGGTATTTGTACAGTTTTGCAGCTTTCTTTGTGGGAGAAGCAGAGTTCCTAGCCCTTAACTTGGGTCATTTGTTTCTGTGCCAGGCAGGGTGAAGGGAGTTAAGGAATCACAGATGAATAAGACACAGCTATTTCCTTGGGGGAGTTGTTAAGTTAAATATCTCCGTATTATGACTTGGAGGGGTGTGACACCTTTTTGTCTGAGCCCTATCATCTTTTGATCAGGAGAAGGACACATCCCTGTATCGACCAGCGCTGGAGGAATTGCGAAGGCAGATTCGTTCTTCTACGACTTCCATGACTTCAGTGCCCAAGCCTCTCAAATTTCTGCGTCCACACTATGGCAAACTAAAGGAAATCTATGAGAACATGGCCCCTGGGGAGAATAAGGTAAAACTGTTTCAAACCTGGCGAGGCCTCGTTTAGGAATTCTTTTTACCCACACCATGGGGCTCATTGTGAGTCACAGGAAGCCTGATAGACCTAAGGCCTGATCTATTTGAGCAGAGTTCATCATAGTCAAAATGTCCACAAAGGAGCTGAGAGGAGGATCATCAACTTCTCAGAAGACACTGTTTCTGTCATTTGTGTTGGACTTTAGGGTTTCATTAGCATGGGTTATTTTTAACTTATGTTTAACCTTGATTTTTCTCTTTCCTTCTCTCCCATGTATATTCTTGTCTAAAATATGCTCCACATTCAGTCACTTCTCTGCCTGCTGGTACAACCCTAATCCTGGAGATGTTCAGTTTCCGCATGGGCTGTTGCAGCGCCTCTTAACTGGCGTTTTTGCCTTTGTCCTTTTCTCCTACACAGTCTGTCTTTCACGTAGCACCTATCCTGATCTTTCTTGGTTGTGGGTCCTTTCTGCTTGAAACCTTTTAATAGTTTATAATTGTAATTAAACTAAAATTAAGAGCCTTCATTTTTCTCCACATTATCCCTTGTCTATCACCCTTCAGCTGTGTTAATTTAAAAGGGAGGTAGTGGCCAGGCACGATGGCTCACACCTGTAACCCCAACACTTTGGGAGGCTGAGGTGGGCGGATCACCTGAGGTCAGGAGTTAAAGACCAGCCTGGCCAACATGGTGAAATCCCATCTCTACTAAAAATACAAAAAAAAAAAACCAGACTTGGTGGCGGGCACCTGTAATCCCAGCTACGCAGGAGGCTGAGGCAGGATAATCACTTGAACTGGCAGGCAGCGGTTCCATTGAGCCAAGAGCATACCATTGCACTCCAGCCTGGGTGACAAGAGCAAAACTCTTGTCTCAAAAAAAAAAAAAATGGAGGGGCCGGGCGCGGTGGCTCAAGCCTGTAATCCCAGCACTTTGGGAGGCCGAGGCGGGTGGATCACGAGGTCAAGAGATCGAGACCATCCTGGTCAACATGGTGAAACCCCGTCTCTACTAAAACTACAAAAAATTAGCTGGGCATGGTGGCACGTGCCTGTAATCCCAGCTACTCAGGAGGCTGAGGCAGGAGAATTGCCTGAACCCAGGAGGCGGAGGTTGCGGTGAGCCGAGATCGCGCCATTGCACTCCAGCCTGGGTAACAAGAGCGAAACTCCACCCCAAAAAAAAAAAAAAAAAAAAAATGGAGATAGCAACACCAACCTTGGTTTTTATGAGGTTTGACTTAGATAACATGTTAAATTTTTAGTACTATATACATAGTTAATTTGGGAGACAATGATCTTGATTCCATAATGCATGCTCCCCTAATGCTGGACTGCTGGGTTTGACTTCAAAGGAATGTTTTCTTTATAGCGTTTTGCTGCTGACATCATCTCTGTTTTGGCCATGACCATGAGTGGGGAACGCGAGTGCCTCAAGTATCGGCTAGTGGGCTCCCAGGAGGAATTGGCATCATGGGGTCATGAGTATGTCAGGTAAGATCTTTTCTTCTTGGGAATCTGAAGGGGGCTCTGAGTCTCTTAAGATAATTTAGAATTCAGATTACTATCTATCTTGGAGTATCTGTATATTGAATTTCCCAGACACTGTATTTTTTGACCCACAGAGAATTGCATCCCCTGAAGCTGTACTTAATGGTCTGGGTGTATCTGTAGGCATCTGGCAGGAGAAGTGGCTAAGGAGTGGCAGGAGCTGGATGACGCGGAGAAGGTACAGCGGGAGCCACTGCTCACTCTGGTGAAGGAAATCGTCCCCTATAACATGGCCCACAATGCAGAGCATGAGGCCTGCGACCTGCTTATGGAAATTGAGCAGGTAGACATGCTGGAGAAGGACATTGATGAGAATGCATATGCAAAGGTCTGCCTTTATCTCACCAGGTGAGTGAACACGGTAGGGATGGGTGGCAGGTGTGCCCTCCTCAGCACCTCTCTCTCAACTCTGCCTCCTCTATTTTGCCAGAGCATTTCCTCAAGCATAGCATCGTGCTGTAGTTAATCTGTTGATGTCTGTGAGTTTCTTGAGGACAGAGACTTTGTGTCTTCTTAGTAGTTCTAACATCTAGCGCAGTGCCTGGTGTATAGTAGGTATTCACTGTTTATTTTGGGTAAGTGAATCCGATGGGGAAAATGAGTGTGTGGGACTTCCTGAATTCTTTATTACTTTTGCTTTTGTAGTTGTGTGAATTACGTGCCTGAGCCTGAGAACTCAGCACTACTGCGTTGTGCCCTGGGTGTGTTCCGAAAGTTTAGCCGCTTCCCTGAAGCTCTGAGATTGGCACTGATGCTCAATGACATGGAGTTGGTAGAAGACATCTTCACCTCCTGCAAGGACGTGTATGTAGGGAAGAAGCTGGCAAAGGAAGAGATAAGCCCACAGTTAGGGAATTTGCATGAAGAGCTGGGAGCTATAGTTTCCGGTGAGGGCTTGAGGGTGTTTTCCTGTGCCCGTAGTGGGCTGTAGTGAGCAGATGTGCGGGCTCTCTCCACAGGGTAGTACAGAAACAGATGGCATTCATGCTAGGCCGGCATGGGGTGTTCCTGGAGCTGAGTGAAGATGTAGAGGAATATGAGGACCTGACAGAGATCATGTCCAATGTACAGCTTAACAGCAACTTCTTGGCCTTAGCTCGGGAGGTGAGACTGCTCATTTTTCATCGAGGCCTTTTGGTTGTAATTCTGCCTTCCATTTTACGTCCCTCTGACAAGACTCTCCTTGATTAGAATTACCATTCAGTGGGATAGCAGAAGGGACAGCTGGGGGAGTTCTAGGGGAGCAGTTGTGACCCTGTGACTTCTCTTCAGCTGGACATCATGGAGCCCAAGGTGCCCGATGACATCTACAAAACTCACCTAGAGAACAGCAGTGAGTAGCGCTCTCTATGTATGAGAATTGGGGGATTGTAGTTGGGCCCCTTGTGTTGGGAGTGATGGCTTGGCCAACATGCTTCTCCTGTTGAGCTCAAAATTCCCATGAACCTTTTTTTGGGTCACTGCTTGGGGATATAGTTACAGGATACTGAGGGACTAGCTCAGAACCAGAGACCAGCTGCCATGCTATGTTTCTTTCTTGTCCTACCTGAAACCTTTCCTTACTTTTCCTTTCTCTCCTTTGCAGGGTTTGGGGGCAGTGGCTCTCAGGTGGACTCTGCCCGCATGAACCTGGCCTCCTCTTTTGTGAATGGCTTTGTGAATGCAGCTTTTGGCCAAGACAAGCTGCTAACAGATGATGGCAACAAATGGCTTTACAAGAACAAGGACCACGGTATAATTCTGTTCCCGTTTTGTCTTTTGTTGTGCTTTGATCACTCCTTTTGTCCTCTTGGAGCCATAATCCGACTAGATCCACCATGCATTTCATGGGAGAGCTCTTACAATAACAGGATCCTCAGGATGGGGCCATTTTCAGACTAATAGATTCTTCCTTGGTATAGGAATGTTGAGTGCAGCTGCATCCCTTGGCATGATTCTGCTGTGGGATGTGGATGGTGGCCTCACCCAGATTGACAAGTACCTGTACTCCTCTGAGGACTATATCAAGGTTGGTCTGGATACAGCCTGCTCATGGGGACTCCCCCTTCTGTATTCTGGTGCCTAGCAGTGCCTCTCTCTCACTGATGAGGTCTGCCCAGTTTTTAATCTCCAGTTAAGGCGGGTGCTGCAGTGAGGCCCATGTTGCATCCTTTGTGGTGAGGAAGGTAGAGTATCTGAGTGAAGAATCTGTTTGCTCTTTGTAGTCAGGAGCTCTTCTTGCCTGTGGCATAGTGAACTCTGGGGTCCGGAATGAGTGTGACCCTGCTCTGGCACTGCTCTCAGACTATGTTCTCCACAACAGCAACACCATGAGACTTGGTTCCATCTTTGGGTAAGGTTCCTCGCTTGTCTTTCTGGTAGTGCTCAGCCTGTGCACTCTGGAGAACAGGAACTGGGCCCTTTTCACGTGTATTGCCAGGGGCTATCACTGTGCGTATTGGGTATTTGGCTCTTGGCGAATGTTTGTTGAGATGGTGAATGAATGACCGGTCCTCTTTTTGTTCTCTTCTTGGTGTATCCTTGGATATCCTTGCTGTATCCATGGGACCGCCTCTCCATGGCTTTTGCAGGCTAGGCTTGGCCTATGCTGGTTCAAATCGTGAAGATGTCCTAACACTGCTGCTGCCTGTGATGGGAGATTCAAAGTCTAGCATGGAGGTGAGTAAAGGTTGCAGAGCATTTGCAGTAAGTAGAGAAGGCGCTTTGAGCCCTCCTCTGTGATAAATAATGACAAAGAAGTATGTGTGCATGTGTGCATACGTGTACATGCCTGTTTGTGTGTGTGTCAGGGGCTGTCACCTCAGTGAAACCCCTTGATCTGAGATTCTAAGCCTCAGGTGGTTTTAAGGCTAAAGAGTTAACATTTTAGGCCAGGTGTGGTGGCTCATGCCTGTAATCCCAGCACTTTGGGAGGCTGAAGCGGGCAGATCACTTGAGCTGAGGAGTTTGAGACGAACCTGGGCAACATAGTGAAACCCCATCTCTACCAAAAAATACAGAAAAAATTAGCCGGGTATGTTGATGCTCGCCTGTAGTCCCAGCTACTAGGGAGGCTGAGGTGGGAGAATTGCTTGAACCTGGAGGTGGAGGTTATGGTGAGCTGAGAACACATCACTGCACTCCAGCCTGGGTGACAGAGTGAGACTCTGTCTTTAAAAAAAAAAAAAAAAAAAGAGTTAACATTTTAGTATTGAGTTCTATCCCTTGGGGTCTCTGAGAGACTACTTGGACTAGAGTGAAGTGTAACTTAATGCAGCCTGGGGTCGATGATTCTCCTCAGTATTTTAGTCATTGTCTAGCCTTAAATATAGTATGGTGGCTAGTGGCATAGGTTTTAGAGTCAGAAAGACTAGGTTCAAATCTTGCCTTCTCTGTTTATAATAGTATGATTGTGAACAAGTAATTCAAACTCTTTAGGCCACATTTTTCTCATTAATTAAAGGGGATAAGGCTGGGTGCAGTGGCTCATGCCTGTAATCCCAGCACTTTGGGAGGCTGAGGTGGGTGGATCACAAGGTCAGGAGTTCCAGACCAGCCTGACCAACATGGTGAAACCCCGTCTCTACTAAAAATACAAAACATTAGCCAGGTGTGGTGGCATGCACCTGTAATACCCTACTGGGGAGGCTGAGGCGTGAGAATCTCTTGAACCCGGAAGGCAGAGGTTGCAGTGAGTTAAGATTGCACCATTGCACTCTAGCCTGGGCGACAGAGGGAGATTCTGTCTCACAATAAATAAATAAATAATAAATAAATAATAAAAGGGGATAACGGCCAGGCGCGCTGGCTCATGCCTGTAATCCCAACACTTTGGGAGGCCGAGGTGGGCAGATCATGAGGTCAAGAGATCAAGACCATCCTGGCCAACATGGTGAAACTCCGTCTCTACTAAAAATACAAAAATTAGCTGTGCATGGTGGTGCTCGCCTGTAGTCCCAGCTATTCTGGAGACTGAGGCAGGAGAATCGCTTGAACCTAGGAGGTGGAAGTTGCAATGAGCCGAGATTGTGCCATTGCACTCCAGCCTGGTGACAGAGCGAGACTGTCTAAAAAAAAAAAAAAAAAAAAAAAACAAAAAAACGGGGGGATAGCCTCAGGACCTGTGACCCTGAGGTGATGGGGATTAAATGTCAATAATAAGTGAAACAGTTGGTGTAGTGGCTGGCATATATTATATACTCAATGAATAGTGGCTACTATCGTTTTTTGATCTGCCATCAGAAAGGGATTGTAACCTAATGTTATTAGGAGAACATCTTGCAGTGGACTGTAGGAATAGGGTATCTTGAATCAAGACATTAAGTGTTTTAATAACTTCCTGTGTGTAATTCGGCTTCCTACCTCTAGGTGGCAGGTGTGACAGCTCTAGCCTGTGGAATGATAGCAGTGGGGTCCTGCAATGGAGATGTAACTTCTACCATCCTTCAGACCATCATGGAGAAGTCAGAGACTGAGCTCAAGGACACTTATGCTCGTTGGCTTCCTCTTGGACTGGGTCTCAACCACCTGGGTGAGGAGATGTTTCACTTTGGGCGAAGGGCTGATGGTAACTGGATACAACAGGGAGGGTTTATGTGTCCGGCTGTGCTGGATGGAGGCAAGTATCCTTTGACCCCTTGAATCTGTCCTGTAGGGAAGGGTGAGGCCATCGAGGCAATCCTAGCTGCACTGGAGGTTGTGTCAGAGCCGTTCCGCAGTTTTGCCAACACACTGGTGGATGTGTGTGCATATGCAGGTCCGTGTCTTTATGAGGCTGTCTTGTGCGCCCCAGTGACTCCTCACTTCTTTCTTGGTCCTTACTTTTAGGTTGTTTCTCCTTTCTCATTCATTCTGATCTGCTGCAGATTCTTTAGTCTTCTACTGTTTTCCAAAGCTTTTCCTTGGTAACTTCTCATTTCTATCCATGCTTCCTCACCACCCTGCCGCAGGCTCTGGGAATGTGCTGAAGGTGCAGCAGCTGCTCCACATTTGTAGCGAACACTTTGACTCCAAAGAGAAGGAGGAGGACAAAGACAAGAAGGAAAAGAAGGACAAGGACAAAAAGGAAGCCCCTGCCGACATGGGAGCACATCAGGTCTTAAGGGCAGCTGGGCATGTTCCCAGTCTGGCTGTGAGGAGAGAGAAGCATGCAGGGGAGCTGGGTTTGGTTTTTGCTCTAGAGCCCCTCTGGGTATCGCTGTGTATTGAAATAGCATTAGACTGTACGTAAGACGTGAGGGTGTTCCCCACAGGGTGGCTTTTTATTTTCAGATGGGACTTGAGTCAAGGTGACTGCTTTTTATTCCCTTGAGCTTAGTGGGTTCTGCTGCCTCTTCAATTGCAGGGAGTGGCTGTTCTGGGGATTGCCCTTATTGCTATGGGGGAGGAGATTGGTGCAGAGATGGCACTACGAACCTTTGGCCATTTGGTGAGTACAGCATGAAGAAAATTGGAATATACTGGGTCTGGTGGCCTGGCGTTCCCCAGCGAAGACTTCTGATGGGTTTTCTTGGTGGAGAGGTGGTCTTTTTGCTGTGTCTTTTTTTTTTTTTTCCTTTCTTTTTGAGACGAGTCTTGCTCTGTTGCCCACACTGGAGTGTAGTGGCATGATCCGGGCTCACCACAACCTCCACCTCCTGAGTTCAAGCAATTCTCTGCCTCAGCCTCCCGAGTAGTTGAGATTACAGGCACCCACCACTATACCCGCTAATTTTTGTATTTTTAGTAGAGACTTGGTTTCACTATCTTGGCCAGGCTGGTCTTGAACTCCTGACCTCGTGATCCACCTGCCTCAGCCTCCCAAAGTGCTAGGATTACAGTGTGAGCCACCGTGCCTGGCAATTTTTGTATTTTTAGTAGAGATAGGGTTTTCACCATGTTGGCCAGGATGATCTCGATCTCTTGACCTCATGATCTGCCCACCTCAGCTTCCCAGAGTGCTGGGATTACAGGTGTGAGCCACTGTGCCTGGCCTGTGGTACCTTTTCTACAGACGCTAAGGCCCCCTTTTACCCACCAGTCCACTCTGTAATGGCACCTGTTTACTGCCATCCCCCTTACTGTTGTCCTTTCTTGGATCATCAGCTGAGATATGGGGAGCCTACACTCCGGAGGGCTGTACCTCTAGCACTGGCCCTCATCTCCGTTTCAAACCCACGACTCAACATCCTGGATACCCTAAGCAAATTCTCTCATGATGCTGATCCAGAAGTTTCTTATAACTCCATTTTTGCCATGGGCATGGTGGGCAGTGGTAAGTATCAGGCAGAAGAAGATCGTAAGCAGTGGGGAAGATTTGAAGCCCCTTTTTTCACTTCTGTAATGCTTAACATTTTCAGGTACCAACAATGCCCGTCTGGCTGCGATGCTGCGCCAGTTAGCTCAATATCATGCCAAGGACCCCAACAACCTCTTCATGGTGCGCTTAGCACAGGTAAAGAGTAGAACTCTTCTCAGAGTGTGCCGGGGAAGCATCCGGTGATGGAAGGAAGGACATGGAATGTTGGCCTAGGAGGAAAAATGTGACCAAGTGCCAGATTTCTGTTTGGCTGGGTTAGGTGATACCTCGTCAGTGATGACTCCTCACCTCTACTTCCCTCTGTTTTTTTCAGGGCCTGACACATTTAGGGAAGGGCACACTTACCCTCTGCCCCTACCACAGTGACCGGCAGCTTATGAGTCAAGTGGCTGTGGCTGGGCTGCTCACTGTGCTCGTCTCTTTCCTGGATGTTCGAAACAGTGAGTTCCTGTCAGAAGTTTTATATCACAGCATGTAGTGCTGACTCCACCCTTTCCAGGCCCACTTTGGCAGTTTAGGTTCAAGACCCAAGTTAGCTCTGTACCACTCCTAGGTTCCTGAGGTTCTTTGGGCTGGTGACATAAGACTTTCATCTCACACACTTTTGATCTGGCCCAAAGAGATTGGAGAATGATGTTGCCCAGCCTCTGCTCCTAAGTAACTGGGGAAACACAATTTTCAAGTCTAGGGGCTGTAAGCAAAGTGAGGTGGGGGCATCTCTGGTTAGTAGGAGGGCACATGATGGGAGGAGTATGGACTCCGTCATATGACCGAGCGGTTAAAGGGCCAAGGCTGGGGTGGGCTCTCAGTGTTCTGGCCGGGCTTGCCATTTCGTCTGTTAACTTTTTGTCCTGTCTGCTTCCCTCAGTTATTCTAGGCAAATCACACTATGTATTGTATGGGCTGGTGGCTGCCATGCAGCCCCGAATGCTGGTTACATTCGATGAGGAGCTGCGGCCATTGCCTGTGTCTGTCCGTGTGGGCCAGGTAAGAGGTTGAGTAGACAGGAGAATGTACATACACTTGCTTTGCTGAAACTGGCGTGGGCAGTGGGCGGTTGCTACTCTTCCATCCTTTTCAATTTTCTCACCCTACAGGCAGTGGATGTGGTGGGGCAGGCTGGGAAGCCCAAGACCATCACAGGGTTCCAGACACATACAACCCCAGTGTTGCTGGCCCACGGGGAACGGGCAGAATTGGCCACCGAGGAGTTTCTTCCTGTTACCCCCATTCTGGAAGGTTTTGTTATCCTTCGGAAGAACCCCAATTATGATCTCTAAGTGACCACCAGGGGCTCTGAACTGCAGCTGATGTATCAGCGGGCCATGCATCGTGTTGTCGAGGGTAGACACAGCTGCAGACTTCTGGGGGAATTGTTGCCTCCTGCTCTTTTGTTACTGAGTGAGATAATGTTGTTCAATAAAGACCTTTATCCCCTAGGTCTCTCCATGTCTGTTTTCTGGGGTGTCATAGCTGGAGTCTAAACTAGAGAGGGCATTGTTTGGAGCAACTCTGAGTCTAGGTTAGCAGGGAGGATGCCCTGGATACAAAGAACTGACCCCTTCCCCTCTCCTGAATGGAAAGAACTGAGCCCCTCCTTTCTAATCATCCTCTGTTTCATTTTCTTAGAACTCTTGAGAAACCTGTAAATGTAATGGATCTTTTTTTCTTTTAAGACAGCGTCTTGCTCTTGTCACCAAGGCTGGAGTGCAGCAGCACAATTTTGGCTTACTGCAACCTTTGCCTCGGGTTCAAGCCATTCTCCCACCTCAGCCTTCCAAGTAGCTGGTATTACAGGTTGTGCCATCACGCCCAGCTAATTTTTGTATTTAGTAGAGGTGGGGTTTCACCATGTTAGCCATGCTGGTCTTGAACTCCTGACCTCAGGTGATCCACCTGCTTCGGCCTCCCAAAGTGCTGGGATTACAGGCGTGAGCCACCACACCCAGCCAATGGATCTTCTTTGTCTTTCTTTTTTTTTTTTTTTTTTTTTTTTTTGAGGTGGAATTTCACTCTTGTTGCCCAGGCTGGAGTGCAATGGCTCAATCTCAGCTAACCGCAACCTCCGCCTCCCAGGTTCAAGCGATTCTCCTGCCTCAGCCTCCCAAGTAGCCAGGATTACAGGTGACTACCACCACGCCCAGCTAATTTTGTATTTTTAGTAGAGATAGGGTTTCCCAGTGTTGGTCAGGCTGGTCTCAAACTCCCAACCTCAGGTGATCCACCTGCCTTGGCCTCCCAAAGTGCTTGGATTACAGGCATGATCCGCTGCACCCGGCCGGATCTTTTTACAAAAACTCTTCCAAACAACTTTTCAGGGGGCTTGTGGATCATGTAAATGACCCCCACCCTTACCCTCCACCACCAATACACCCTCTTTAAGCCTATTATCTCCTGACCTTGGGCTAATTTAGGCCAAGAGTGGGCAGCCTCACACTTTTTTTTTTTTAAAGACGGTTTCGGGCCGGGCGTGGTGGCTCAAGCCTGTAATCCCAGCACTTTGGGAGGCCGAGGCGGGTGGATCACGAGGTCAAGAGATCGAGACCATCCTGGTCAACATGGTGAACCCTGTCTCTACTAAAAATACAAAAAATCAGCTGGGCATGGTGGCACGTGCCTGTAATCCCAGCTACTCGGGAGGCTGAGGCAGGAGAATTGCCTGAACCCAGGAGGCGGAGGTTGCGGTGAGCCGAGATCACGCCATTGCACTCCAGCCTGGGTAACGAGCGAAACTCCGTCTCAAAAAAAAAAAAAAAAAAAAGACGGTTTCACCATGTTGGCCAGGCTGGTCTTGAACTCCTGACCTCAGGTGATCCGCCTGCCTCGGCCTCCCAAATTGCTGAGATTACAGGCGTGAGCCACCACGCCTGGCCAGCCTCACACTTTTGTAATTTGACTTATGTGCTACCGAATGAAGGACAAATTTACCTCCTGCAACCCCTCTCCCTCTTGGGAGGCTGCTATTTGAGGGATTTGATCATCTTAACATCTACTTCTGGGATGTCCTTGTAGAAACTGGATTCAAGAAGGCTTGACCCTCAGGCTCCCGAGTAGGTAGGGCTACAGGCGTGTACCACCACAAATGACTTTTTTTTTTTTTTTTTAATTAGAAATGGTCTTTATCACTCAGTCGGAAGTGCAGTGGCACAGTCATAGCTCACTGAAGCCTCAAACTCCTATACTCAAGTGATCCTCCTGACTCAGCCTCCCAAGTAGTAACTAGGACTATAGGCATGAGCCACCACGCCTGGCCTATTTTTATTTCTGTAGAGGTGGGGGGTCTTGCTGTGTTGCCCAGGCTGGTCTTGATCTGACCTCAAGGAATCCTTCTGCCTGAGCCTCCCAAAATGTTGGGATCACAGGCATGAGCCAGTGTGCCTGGCCAGTGTTTTTCTTTATTTTTTTGAGAGTCTCACTTTGTCACCCAGGCTGGAGTGCAGTGGCATGATCTCGGTTCACTGCAGCTTCTGCCTCCTGGGTTCTAGTAATTCTCCTGCCTCAGTCTCCAGAGTAGCTGGGATTATAGGCGCACACCACCATGCCTTGCTAATTTTTGTATTTTTAGTAGAGACAGGGTTTCACCATGTTGGCCAGGGTGGTCTTGATCTCCTGACCTCATGATCTGCCTGCCTCGGCCTCCTGAAGTGCTGGGATGACAGGCGTGAGCCACCACTCCTGGCCCAGTTGTTTTATTACTAAACTTTTTTTGGAGATAAAGCTTCACTTTGTGGCCCATGCTGGAGTGCAGTGGCATGACCATAGCTCACTGTAGCCTTGAACTTCTATAGGCTGAAGTGATCCTCCCACCTCAGCCTCTCAGGTAGCTGGGATTACAGGCACGAGACATCAGCAATTTTGGATTGAGTCATCTTGGCAGTTTGTATAAGGCTGAAACAGGACTAAGGAGTTGGTGGACCTGTTGAACCCCTTTATTGTGACTGCCATAATCTTCAAGTTAGCATGTGTGATGAGCCTCTGTTATTATATAATATGGATATAGTAGTTGCCTTACCTGATTTCCAGTGGTAGTAATGTTAAATTAAAAAGTGATTTGTACACTAAAAAGGATAATTCTCTCCCAAATTGTGATTTTGGTGATTGTGCTTTAGAATAAGACAGTTTCGGCTGGGCGCGGTGGCTCACGCCTGTAATCCCAGCACTTTGGGAGGCTGAGGTGGGTGGATCACAAGGTCAAGAGATCAAGACCAAGCCGGGCGCGGTGGCTCAAGCCTGTAATCCCAGCACTTTGGGAGGCCGAGGCGGGTGGATCACGAGGTCAAGAGATCGAGACCATCCTGGTCAACGTGGTGAAAACCTGTCTCTACTAAAAATACAAAAAATTAGCTGGGCATGGTGGTGCGTGCCTGTAATCCCAACTACTCAGGAGGCTGAGGCAGGAGAATTGCCTGAACCCAGGAGGCGGAGGTTGCGGTGAGCCGAGATCGCGCCATTGCACTCCAGCCTGGGTAACAAGAGCGAAAACTCCGTCTCAAAAAAAAAAAAAAAAAAAAAAGAGATCAAGACCATCCTGGCCAACATGGTAAAACTCCTTCTCTACTAAAAAATACAAGTTAGCTAGGGGTGGTGGCACATGCCTGTAGTCCCAGCTACTCGGGAGGCTGAGGCAGGAGAATCGCTTGAACCTGGGAGGCGGAGGTTGCAGTGAGCTGGGATCATGCTACTGCACTCCAGTGTGGCAACAGAGCGAGACTGTCTCAAAAAGTTTCATAGTGGCGTTTAACTTTTCACATGTACTTACTTACTTTAGTACTTCATTTAGCAGTGGACAACCGTGGAGCCTTACTCTACATCAGACATTAGTCTAATTTATGGGGATGCAAATACAGAAAAAAAAAATCCTATGGTCAAAAAGTTGAATGCAGTGATGAAAACAATTGTGATCGATACTGTACCAGAGTGTGAACAATGTACCCTGGGATCAGTGAGACAGAGCCTGAGTGCGTGGGACAGTCAGGGGAGACTTCCTTGAGGAAGCTTATACTTAGAGGAAGGTAAGTTTGTACAAAGGAAAAAGAGGGCAGAATATAGCTAAGGGAGTAGCAATGGCAAGGAGGAGGAAAAGCTCTTTTCAGAAACTTAACCAATAATTTGGTTTGGCTAAGTGTATAGGGGCCAGGGAAGTGTGGTAGGAGATACAGCTAGAAATTCAGGCTTAGACCAGGTTTACAAGAGCTTTGTTATACTAAGAATTTGACAGTATCTCTCAATGGGGCCCATTGAGAGCAGAAAAGTGACATGATCAGCTACCTGGGTGAGAAAGCTCACCCCAAAGGACTGACGGGAGAGCAGGCAAGGGAAATGAATGCTTGGACTAGGGCAGTTGAAGTGGGGACATGGGGAAGGGTAGAAGAGTGATTTTTTAAAAGATAATAGGACTTGATTTTGATCCAAATACCAATAGGACCTGGTGTCTTATTAGACATAGTGTGGATGAAGAAGGAATGTAGGATGAATCCTAGATTTTCAGATTGGGCTCTATCCATTATGTAAGCAACAATACGTTTGGGGGACTCCACTGAGTAGGGAAAGATGACAAATTCTGGCCAGGTAATAAGTATCAGAGTTTGGATGAAAACCCAAGCTATCTGACCTGTGAGTTTGGCTCTAGGATGATGGTCCCTCTGGCCTCCAAGATCTTTTGGCTGTCAGTTTTAGGATTACTTCTCTTCTGTCCTTATTCTTCCCATCCTTATGCTTTTGCCCCTCTGTGGAAGTGTCTGATCTTTTTTATTATTTATTTGAAACAGTCTCACTCTGTCACCCAAGTTGGAGTGCAGTCACGATCTCGGCTCACAGCAGCCTCCACACCCCAGGTTCAAGCGATTCTCCTGCCTCAGTCTCTCCACTAACTGAGATTACACGTGCGTGCCACCATACCTGGCTGATTTTTGTATTTATAGTAGAGATGGGGTTTCACTGTGTTGGCCAGGATGGTCTTGAATTCCTGAGCTCAGGTGATCTACCTGCTTCGGCCTCCCAAAGCTGGAATTATAGGTGTGAGTCACCGTGCCTAGCGTTATTTTTTACTTTTATTATTTTTATTATTTTATTTTTTGTTTGAGACAGAGTCTCGCTCTGTCACCAGGCTGGAGTGCAGTGGCGCAATCTCAGCTCACTGCAACCTCCGCCACCCAGGTTCAAGTGACTCTGCCTCAGCCTCCTGAGTAGCTGGGCCACAGACATGAGCCACCATACCTGGCTAATTTTTTGTATATTTAGTAAAGACAGGGTTTCACCCTGTTGGTCAGACTGGTCTCAAACTCCCGACCTCAGGTGATCCGCCTGCCTTGGCCTCCCAAAGCGCTTGGATTACAGGTGTTAGCCACTGCATAAAAATTTTCATATTTTTAGTAGAGATGTGGTTTCACCATCTTGGCCAGGATGGTCTTGAACTCCTGAACTCATGAATCACTGCCTGGG